TTAGGGTTTAGGGCTTAGGGGCTGAGTACACTTTACACTTGTTGGGATACTACGATCCCCTATAGAACTAAAAGTTTACATCTTTTGGGATACTATTACCCCCTATAGACCTGAAAGCTCACATCTTTTGGGATACTAGCATCCCCTATAGAGCTAAAAGCTTAGATCCAAAAAAATTCAGGGCTTAGTGCATTGCAGTCCCTGCTCCAAAAAATATCTTTTGGGATACTAGGACCCCCTATAGACCTGAAAGCTTACATCTTTTGGGATACTATGACCCCTATAGAACTAAAAGCTTACATCTTTTGGGATACTAGGATCCCCTGTAGACCTGAAAGTTGCCACCTTTTTTAGGCTTGTGAGCCCAGCAGCTAAGCAGGAAAGGTCCGACCAGGGCGATGGTGTGGCCTCCGACGACCAAGATGCCGGGCTAGGGTTTAGGGTTAAGGGACTTGCGGTTTAAGATTTTTAGGGTTCTGAGTCCGCGAGAGAGAGAGAGAGGGGTTTAGGGTTTAGGGCTTAGTTAAAGTTACCAGGATAGGGATCTACGGTAAAGAATGGGGGTTTCCCTATTATGGGAACTTAGATACCCTAAACCCTAAACCCCAAGCCCGAAACCAGATCTTCCCTACTATGGCAACTTAGAGCAAGTTCCCTTAACGAGAGCCCAGGAAGCAACACTGGAGCAGCCGAAGATGAAAGACCCGGGGGCTGGCGGAGTGGAGACTTCTCTCTTAAGGTGTAGGGTTTAGACAAGTTTAGGCTTGAGCGACTTCTCTCTTAAGGTGTAGGGTTTAGGCTTTAGCGACTTCTCTCTGAAGGTGTAGGGTTTAGGGTTTAGGGACTTCTGTCTTAAGGTGTAGGGTCTAGGCTTTAGCGACTTCTCTCTTAAGGTGTAGGGTTTAGTGTCTAGGGTTTACGGTTTACTTCTCTTTTTTACCCAGAGGGTCAATAGAGACTACTTTTATGGAATCATAGGGCCCCTAAAGACCATCCTTGTTATGGTTTTGGGGGCCAAATTCATCATAGCAGTATATTTGCACCCTTTATGTTAGTAGCATTCCGTTTCCTTCAGGCGTGAAGGACCTGCAGTTGTCTAATGTTGTGTGCTCGAAGTTCTCATCTTTGCACTGTTCTGCCAGTGCATCCACAAAGCCCTCTACCCATAGGCCCCATAGTAGTTCCTTTTTGGGATTACCTAATAGGATCCTAAATATAAGCCACAAAAAAAGGAACTACTGTGGGGCCTATGGGTAGACCCTCATCCACGTAAGCTTCTACAGCACGCGGAACGAAGGACCTCGGCCGTTCCGATGGCTCAGAGGAGCCGGGCCAGGAAACGGACGGCGTGGCTGACCCTCACCGGGTAGCGACTCCTCAGATCCCAGGTTGCAAGTTGGGGGTTTAGGGTTTAGGGTTTAGGGCTTTGGGTTTAGGGTTTAGGGTTTAGGGTTTAGGGCAGGGTTTAGGGTTTAGGGTTTAGGGTTTACTGCAAAAAGGGTTTAGGGCAGGGCGCGAACGTTTGCGGGCCACGGCTGAAGAACGGCAGAAGAGGCAATGCTGGTAGTCATGAAGTCCGGTTTCAAAAGGGTTTAGGGTTGGTGTCTTCGGCCGGATCGACACAGAGTGGTAGTTTCAGTAGGTCTTTACTTCTCTTGCAGCACGCCGGCTACTGCCTTGAACTGGTTTTGCACCCTACATTCCTTCACCCTAAACGTTCCTAAACCCTACACCCCGAAACCCTAAACCGTGCGGTTCCAGATCCCTATAAAAGCCGCTAAGCCCTAAGCCCTGTAATCCCTATGAGCCCTAAACCCTAAACCCCTAAACCCCTAAACCCCTAAACTCCAAACCCCTAAACCCTAAACCCCTAAACCGTGCGATTCCGCATCCCAGGAGTTCGATAGATCCACCGGACACGCTGCCGCAGGAGGCGCCGGCGAACCCGGAGTCTCCACGGCGGACGGATCGGTCACGAACTGGATGTCCGGTTTCTGGGCTCTTGTTCAGGAGTTTAGGGTTTAGGGGTTTAGGGTTTGTTTCAAGTTACCATAAGTCATAGGGGTTTAGGGTTTAGGGTTTGTTTCAAGTTACCATAAGTTATAGGGATGTATGGTACATAAGATGGTTTCCTTACCTTCCTCACTTCAATTAAGCTTGCCTTATAGTGGTAACTTCCGTTAAGCTTTTTCCGTATACTGGTAACTTCAATTAAGCTTTCTTCATAGTGGTAACTTTCAACTAGACTTTCCTAATAGTGGTACCTTCAACTGAGCTTTCCTTATAGTGGTACCCTCAACTAGCCTTTCCTAATAGGGGTACTTTCAACTGAGCTTTCCTTATAGTGGTAGCCTCAAACCCTAAACCCTAAACCCTAAACCCGACGCGTGCAGGCGAACAAAGAGACCGTCAACCCAACTTTAAACAAAAAACACCCTAAACCCTGAGCCCTAAACCCAGGGCTCCTTCTCAAGAGCCCAGGTTTTGCCCAAGGACCTACAGGCGATCCAGAGTTTGGCCTACTCGGATCCCGAGCCAAGAAGGCGAACCTCTGGTGCTTAGTAGGGAATGGGTTTAGGGTTTAGGGTTTAGGGTTTAAGGTTTAGGGTTTAGGGTTTAGGGTTTAGGGTTTAGGGTTCAGGGTTTAGGGTTTCGGGTTTAGGGTTATAGGGACTACTATAAGGGACCTTAAGGCACGATCATAGGGATCCATTCCCCCATTCCCTACTGAGCAGACAGGCGAACCGCCTTTGGGTCCATGGCCAGCCAGCGCAGCTCAGGCCCGCGGCAATCGACTCTAGGTTCTTGGAGGGTTTAGGGTTTAGGGAATTTAACAGAAGTTGTCATAAGAGTAAGGAGTTGAGTATGAGTTACCATAGTAAGGAAGCCACATTATTTGCAACAGATCCTTTTTATTTCCATGCGATGTGCTACCGTGATTAGGAACCATAGTATTTCCTGTGATCCCTGTTATGGTAGAACCGAGGATTGCAATGGCTTTTCGTCCCACCACCGAAAGCCGCACGTCGCAGACTTCCTTGCCTCGACGAGGAGTTCTGTTTTCTATGGAGCCGCCACACGAGGATGAGGACGAAGTCCACGAGACCGGAGTAGGAGAAGATGTGACCATTCCTCACCTACATCCGGCTTTACTCTCTAGGGGCCGGACAGCCAAAGGCCCAAAGGATTACATGCCCCTCGCAAGTGAGGCATCTTTACCGCTGGTGCCTTGAGGGTTTTGGGACGTAATGTCCAGTTTTCGAATCCCACACCGCAAACCCGAATCGCGGAGCAAGATTCCGAATTCAAGTTGTGGAATACTTGGTTCCTCTCAACTTGGGCCTTGCGAAGAGTTTCGTTTCCACTCCAACAGCGGACGCAGTTGAAAATGCTGTGCTGAGAGGCCTTTTGCATTGGGTGGTGGGGTCTAGGTCTTCAGCACCTTGAGCTGCCAGGATGCTTCAGTGTTGAAGCAGAACGTCCGAATACGTCGAAGCACAATGTCTGCCCTAGACACAGGGCCAAAATCCTAGGAGTCCTCCTGCCATAATCATTGTCGGGTCTACCTCACGGCATGCTGTGCTGCCATGTGGCTTCAGGACAATTAGTTTGGAGTGTCGGAAGAGAGCAGATGTTGTCTAGATCCAGCGGTCGTTATCGGAGCAGTTGTTGTTTCCTTAGGCAGACCCCTCATCCCTTCGTTTCGGGATCTGCTCGGGGTACTTAATGTAGGGCCGGAATGGGGTTTTGGGGATTCTAAACTAGACTTCTCCATATGATGTTGAGGCATGGAAGGCCTAACACAAACATTCTGGAAGAAGATCCAAGTTGTTAAATCCGCAGGTCAGTCCCGTTAAATCCCGTTGGGGTGAAGGGCTATATACGGCTTGAGACTGTATTTATGTTCTGCGGCAGCAGCGGTTTCATGCCAGCGGCTTTTCCATGTTCCAGACCAAGAATCCTAAGCCAGTTCGGACTCCATTCCGGGAAAAGGCGTGCATTTGGAGGAGTCTTTCTGGTGCAATATGGGGGGAGTTCGCAAGGAGTTCCCCATTCCTACTGTAGACTGTAGACCCCGAACATTTGAAAGAAGTTCCCAATCAGCCCGCAGCCGAAAACGGCAGCACGTCCCAGGTCCTTCTATCACGCTTCGATCATCCCTCTAGCACTACTCACGGCGACTTGGAAGGATTGAATTTGGGTTTAGGGGTTTAGGGTTTAGGGTTTTGGCGCTGTGAGGACGTTTTGGAGTCTGAGTTTAGTAACGTCGGGTTCCTTATCTGTAACGGCTATTGTACATAGTATACCCCCCGAATCCTTTTGTGATTATTGGCCCCTGTGCTTGGGACTCAGGAAGCCTTCAATTGGTTTTCCATCGATGACCAGGTAGTTTGGTTTTAGGGTTCCTCGGGTTGGATTCAAGTGCCTATCTCAGAAAACCCTAAACCCCTGTTCCCTGGAGAATGGGGCAGTCAGGTGTTCCTGTTTTCCCTTTGTTGGTTCATCGATCCTACTGCGCCATCTGAGTAGACGAAACTTAGCACGAGCTTCGGGAGTGTTGATTTTCCATGTAGGTTCGGACAAGGAAATGAGACGACTCTGCTACTGGCTAAGATTCAAGCTTTCAGAAATCCAGTTTTTGGCGCTCCGACGCATTTAGCTAGATTTGCCTCTGGGTCGGAACACGTAGGTCTTGACATATCTAAATGACCGTTCGTGGTTCTACACGCAAGAACACAGTAGAGTGAGTTGCAATGATGGTTCTACGATTTCGTAGAACCTTGGGATTTAGGGTTGTGAGTTTGAAGTTGAAGACTTGCAGTTCTGGGTCACGGTTCAGGGTAGGTACCTTGGTTAATATAGAAGCCTAGATCATTACCCATAGTATTCCTTATTAGGGTTCCTTACTGTAACTATACGTACTATAAAGGAGCCCAAAACCCTATTCTTATTTGTAAGGCCCCTACATCAAGCCGTTTCTTCCCTGCGCACCCAAAGCCCCAAGCTCGAAAGTCCCAGGCCGTGGGAGCATGGAATGCATTGCCTTCACGCAGCAGCGAATGGCCCAAAGGCTTTGCGAAGTTCATGGCCACTTGCCTGCAGGTTTAGGGTTTAGGGAACTAACCTGTGCGAGAGTGAGAGTCGAAATCCTAAACCCTAAACCCTTACGTTGAGGTCAAAGAGACCCTAAAGGCCCGTTTCCGCAAAGGAGCGGGGAGTGGAGCCATAGAGGCTTTATGGAGTAGTCTCTGAGCCTTCTGCATCGAAGTCTGCATGAAGGTTCCGGGCTCGAACGTGTCTGTTGAAGACTTTGTCAGGCTTTAGGGCGCAATAGGGTTTAGGGCTCAGGGTTTTTATAATTCAGGAATAGTATTTCCGAACGTTCCTATTATGCTTAATGTCTTGTGTACCCCAAAACCCTAATCTAAATTCTCAGGCTTCCCGAGAAAGCTGTTTCATGAAACCCTAACGACGTACGGACTTTTTCTGCCACGGATCTTCCTTTGAGACACCTCTTGTGCAAGCTTTCACTTCGTAAGGGCCCTTAGGAGGGTTTCTTCCATGCCCATGCAGAAGTCTCATGCAACTTCGAAGCAGTAACATCCTGTAGACGCCCTGCAAAGCCTTGTGAAGCAGAGCCTTACAAACTCGAATGTAGTAACCCCCAAGCTTGCAAACCCTGTTGTCGAAGCATAGAAAAACCTAAACCCTAAACCCTAAACCCTAACAAACCCTAAACTGCTGAGGCCACCTACCTCAGCGCCTGGACCTTGTGTGTTGCTGCAGACTGGCTCCAGGGCCCCTACGTCTACGCCCTCTATGAGGCGCAATCCTAAACCCCAAACCCCACCCTAAACCCTAAACCCTAAACCCTAAACCCTAAACCCCTAAACCCCTAAACCCTAAACCCTAAACCCCAAACCCCACGATCGAACCCTGTGCCTTTCCCTTGAAAGCCTAATTAAAGCTTAAAGGAGGATTAGGGCCAACATAAAAAGCAAAGGGTCCTGGAGGTGTTTGAAGGTTTGGGGTTTCTAGGGTTTAGGGTTTCATCAGGGTTTAGGGTGTTTCAAGGAAACATAGGTTACTTTCGGGTTGTTTTGGCGCTCTGGGTACGAAGCCCAAGCACGCTCTGGCGCAGGCTTCGGCAGGTTTGGAGTTGACATGTCTGGGTTTCAAGTTAAGGAACTTATCTTAAGTTACCACTCTAAGGCAACCATATGGCTAGTTCTCTAAATTAGGGCCCCTTTTTGGGTCCCCAATATAGTACGGCACTCTTATAAAAAGGATCCTAATTTAGAGAACTACCCATATTATTAGCTATAGATCTCTACTCTGGGTAACTGAGATGATAGGCCTTACCAGTACCAGAGCCCAGGTGTCTGGGGCTTGCAGCTTAGATCGGCACAGCAGGTGCCACTCCCAAGCAGAATTTTCTAGTGGTACAGTCAGATAGCACCAGAGTAACGGTTCTACACGGACATCCGAAGCCAACTGGTCTCCTGCGAAGTCGCAGATGGAACTTTTGTGCAAACAACGGTAATTCATTCACTTCTTGTTTTGCCCACTGTTGATATGGGTGTCGTAACGGGAGCCTAGGCACGAACCGTCGTCATTCATGTCGACTCATGGTGTCGACTAAGCAAGGCGACAGGGTTGACTTGGCAGCACAGTCCAGGAGGCAAATCCTTGTGTGGAGCTAGTTGGTATCGGCTGGAATGCTCACCATGCGTCCACCCAAACTACAGCCTAAATAGATCCTACCTCCTCCAACCCTTCATGTTCTAGCCTTGCAGGCTTATGGCTTTAGCTCGCACGAAATCGCCCAGCTTTTCGTCGCTGGCTTTGGCTCTGCGCTGTTCTGCAGCTGTGCGGGACCCAGGTCGGGTTTTGAGTCTGGCGGGTTCACCCAGACCCTGGATTGTAGTTCTGCGTATCGTTCCCTGATTCTCTTCCCAGCCATGCAGTTCAGGGTATTGGGGTTGTAGGATAACCCTTCAGGGATCACTTTCAAACACATGTTAGGCCCTCATGGGACCGTACAGAGCCCCGTAGGTTCCTACATGGTCTATCTGGCTTCCGTTGTTTGCGGGGTCTACCGATGGAGTTGTTCGCAGAAGCACGGCAAAACTGCTACAGACGTCAGCGATGTGCCTCCGGGCAGATCTTCAGCCGACCCCTAAACCCGAACCCCTAAACCCGAGTGCTGGAACTATACCCGAACCCCCCCTAAACCCTAAACACGAAAGCCCTAAACAAAGTATAAGTCTGTAACCCTGAAGGGAAAGAAGCACCAGAAAGCCGAGCAGTCGGAAGTTCCGGTGTTGACATGCAGCATCTCCCTTTAATACAGGGATCATAGGGTTTGGGGTTTAGCGTATCAGCAGCCATATCCCTCTATAGTCCTGGTACATACTAGAATATGCTTCAAATTCGAGTTACTACAGCTCTTCTTACTTATGAATGCAGGTGAAGGCCCCTACATTACGCTGAGGCTTCGTTGGCGGCTTGGCCGATCGATTCGGTCGGAAGAAGGGCTGCTTAGCATACTGCCGGCGGCTCAGACTGTCAGAGCACGACGAGAGACCCGACGCCACAAGCCCAAATCCTTCTGGATCCCCGGCAGAAGGAAAAAGGCGGTCAACAACAAATCATACACCTTAGTCCTGGGTCTGCGAAGTTGGGATTTGTGGGCTGGGGTTCGTGTCTGGGAGATTTCATGGTTTGGGGCATCGGAGTGACGGTCACTCATGAATATCCGAAGCTTGTCGACAAGCAGCATACCGTTGTCAATACATGCAGGGACAAGACACACAGATCATTTGTGGTTCTTTAAGCGCATGAACACATTCGAAGCAGGGATAAAGAGCTCCATATATATATATATATGTGTGTGTGTGTGTGTGCGTGTGTTATTATGGATTCACAACAGATATTCGTTTTTTTGATTGCTGTTATGGGTATTATCATATTTTGCGTACACTTGCATGCATATTAACTGTTTTCCTTGTTTGGGTACATACAACCTTAAGTCCAAGACCTTCGACTTTTGGTGGCTAAACCCCTATCTCGACCCCAAACCCAAGCCCTACAACCCTCAACTTTGGGCGCCCCCCTAAACCCTAAACCCTAAACCCTAAACCCTAAACCCTAAACCCTAAACCGTTCTGAGGTTTGCTGTACATCTTCTCTTGCGCGACGAAGCATTGGTAGAAGTCTCGGAGTGCCCATG